AGGGGGAACAGATTTTCACGGGGGAGCAGAATTTCGCACAAGACCGGTACCCAGCCTTTTGTAACGTCCCAATTTTATTTTAACAGTTGTTTTATCATCAATATTATCGTGTCATTTGAAAGAGTGGTTTAATGTAAAAATAACAACTTCCATTTGTGAGTAAACACAGCTAATGCCACTTTTTTCTTAGATACACAAAATGTCATACAGATTTAAATTAATTCGATTTTACACATAGTTACTGGAAAATCACAGCAGATATAAATGCACACATTATTGTATTAATGAAATATAAAGCAAAGGTATAGATGGTTTTACTTCATTTTGTATTTTGCTTTGTGTGTTACCTGTTGTTCTGTCTGTACAGCACTTTGGTTGGCCTTGTCGCTGTTTTAAGTACTCTATAAAATAAAATGGTATGGTATGGTATGGTTTTATATTTTTAAATGAACATCAGGCTATCTTGTAAATGAGTCCTCGAGGCTCAGTGGGATTTACCTGTCTAAATAAAGGTTGAATGGAAAAACATCTGGACAGACATTAGCAACTAAACCACAGATATTTTAAATGTTTTTCTTCTTTCGGCTTCTCCCTTCTTCAGCGGTCGCCACAGCAAACTAAGTCGCACGAAGACTTGGCAATTATGTTTACGCCGGATGTCCTACAGATTCAAACACAGACGACCAAGATACCAGCCCTCTGTGTGGAGCAGGGAGATGCTATCTAGGGCGCCCAGGGAAGCAGATGATGGTGGTTAAGGGCCTTGCTCAAGGGCCCAGAGTGGGGTAAATGAGGGTGGAGGCAGGTGTGGGTGCTTCACCTATCCCACCCACATTTTGATGTTGTCGGTACTGGGAGTTGAACCAGTGATCGTCCGATCACAGGCCCACCTTCTCTAACCTCTGTGCCACCATTCCCAAAGCACCTAATCTACAGATGAAGATAATAAAGAGTAAAGAGTTTTAACAACCTGCACAACACCATCCTTTAGGTTTTTGAATTTTAAAAATTACATGAAAAACTGGGCTATGATTGTTGGAGGGAGTTACAACTAGTTAAATGGAATAACTTTGTATGAAAAAAAAATAAGGAGAAGGGTTTTTTGTCAGTTTGGTCTTGAGCCCCACTAATGAGAAAAACGATGTATAAACTTCCACAGGACAGTTTAGTTCACACCCCTACTTGGAATGTGTAAAGTGGCTCTTTCACTGAAACCACACAATGAAGAAATGGTGTGTGTGTGTGTGTGTGTGGGGGGGGGGGGGGTGGATTTTAGATTACAAGTATCTGTTGCATCTTTAAATTTACATTTATTACAAATGTAATAATACAAAAATGTTTTGTGGTACCAACTGACATCACATGCACAGTATAAATGATCAAACACAAAAGTACTGTGAAGTTTCATCATGTGATGATGTGAGACACCCGTGCATGGTGAAGTGCATTTATAATCAAATCCCTCAATCTGTTCTGTTTAATTTTAAAGTTGAATTTACAATTCTTTACAGATGCAGTCTTGTTGATTTTCACATGGGTACAAACATAAACCATTTCCAGACCCTATTTTGGTTGTGGAGCTGAGTGGACGGTTGTCTTTGATTAAAAATAGCAGTTACAATTTTTACTCTGCAGGAGATGTTTTTAGCAATTAGGTTAATTATTTTAAAGGGGTGTAGAATTAAAGACCAAAGTTTTTTTTTTTTTTTTTTTTTAAATAATTAATTAATTTTTATATGAGATGACAAAATTGGCACTGGGTACATGCTGTAAGACTGAATATATGGGCTCAAATTACTTTTTACATGTGCAAAATATTTATGGCTGGAATTTGAGCCCATAGTGATTTGCTTGGTGAAATAAAGATTAATAAATAAATTAGTAAATTAGTATTAGTAAAATTCCAATAGACCATTGGCATAATGTTCAAATCTATTAACATTGATAGGGAAATACATTTTACTCAAGTTTAAAAAATAGGAATACATTTTAGTGATTTTGTTTTACTTTATTAAATTTCAGTTCAATTCATTTCAATTGTAAAAGCAAACAAAAGCATATATTTGTTCATTATAAGTGTATATTGTCACAATAACACAGTCTAAATCATATAATATTTAAATTTACACATAAAATCAAACAAACAAGCAAAAAAAATCAAGCAAAAAGGGCAAAAAAGTCACACATACAGTATCCAAATTATTAATTGATTAAATATTTTTGGGGGCTGGTATGTTTTGAACTAACTTCACAAACGTACTACTAAATAGTTTTAATTATAAGCATTATTATTGTATGCTTAATATCAAGTTCAGCTCAAAAACCTCTGAATTGTTGTCATTGAACGTTCAAACCAGTAGGTGGCAGTAATGTAACAAATCACTGCGCATGCGTGTCAATTTCAACATGTCTGCGCCCATCAGCAAGGTGGTAAAGAGACAGCATTTTAAAAGCAGATGTTAACAATTAGTGAACTGAAAATGTTAGGACTATGTGTGACTGAAATGTGTTTTTTCGTAATATCAACATTTATTCTGATAAAAAAGGAATCCCTTTCAGAAGCTTTAGTCTGTTTCACGGTTGTGTGTTAGCATTGAAAGTGTTTGTTTACTCCGTTAATTTATTTTTTTGTTGCCTTCATTGCGACGTTACATATCAACAATCGACTATTATTTCTGGATTTGAAACAGTATTCTTTATTTATTTTTGGAATTTGCAAAAGCACTGTTTGTAGCTGCAGACAACGTGAACTTTTAATTGTTTTAAATTTTATTGAATCAAATGTATGTTTGTTGAAAACCATACACCTCAAAATTAATAATTCCTTCGTTGTGGACAATTTTCCTCTTAATACCATACATCTAGTACCTTTAGGCACCTTAAAATATTAAAAAATATATATCTCTTAAAACCTGAGTAGTTTTGAATGGAGTTTGGCCTATTCATGGTCATGCACCAAAAAGGTGACATCAAAGTCTAAGTCTGTTTGTTCTACTGCTGCCTAGAGAATCTTCAAGTCAAATTTGTAATGGCTTATAGAAGACTTCTTAGCCTTCTTTCAAGAAGAACTGAGATGATGCCTCCCTTTCAACAAAATCCTCAACACATCATCAGTCACACTCTTCCTGAACATGCCAGTCACCTCTGTCACAGGATCCAAAGGACTCTTCACACAAGTCCTCCACTGATGGTGAAGCTGCTGTCGGTGAATGAACTTTTTGCCAGTAGTTCTCTACAAGAACACTTAAAACGGATAGAAAAAGAGTACAACGACTGTTTTCAAGTTGTCAGTGGTAATGCGGCAGAAGGAGAGGGCGGAGAAGATGAAATGAAGACCAAGCGGTCCAAAGTATCACTGCTGGCTCCTCTCGTTCAGAGCATCAGAGAGCTGGACAGAAAACAAAAGGAGATCAGTGAGACTGAGATGCTCCTGAAAGGTGAGATGGGAAGAACTGTGAAAAAATAATCTCTAAAAACATACTTTAAAAGAGTGGATTTAGCCAGTGCTGTTACACTAATGTGTTTTTCACTTTGCTCAAAGATGAAGATCTAGCACTGCGACAACTGGCTAAGATGGAGAGAGAAGGATATTTGCAAGATATTCAAGATCTGAGACAAAAGGTGCAGCTTTTCTCTTTTTGACAACTTGCTGCATAATAAAGTGGAATATTTTTTTTAAAGGGTTTGCACTACCAACTACAGTAATGCCATCTTATAAATAAGCGGACACTGTTGTATTTCTCTGTTTACTTTTGTTGTTGCTGTGCTCAGTCATGTGCTCTTCAATCAGATTTTAGGTCTGCTAATCCCTGACGAGGAGGCTGATATGAGTAACCTTGTCCTGGAAATCACAGCTGGTGTTGGGGGTCAGGAGGCCATGCTATTCACCTCTGAGGTCTGGTCAAGTACCTGTATACATTCATTAAAATTTATTTTGTATATTTTGTACTCATTTCATAAAGAGTTAGCCTCATAATGATGCTGCATTATTACATCAAACTTAGAGTGGACACTAAAATCAGTCCATTTTGTGTATTTTTAGTGTATTTACATGCTGCTGTTTGTTCTCCTTTCTTTTGAAGATGTTTGACATGTACCAAAGCTTTGCTCGGCATCATGACTGGTCTTTTGAAATTCTGGATCACACGGAAAGTGATTTAGGTCAGTTGATGCAGACATATTACATGAAGAGTTGTGTTGTGATTTACCTAATCCAAAGTAACAATACTTATTTCCATCTCTGCTTCTGTTGTCATCTCTGTGTTGAGTTGCTGCATTAAATGTTGTTTTTTTTATTCCTTCTTGTTTATGTTTCCTCTTAAATTGGCCTTTGCAAAAAATATATATGAATGTTAGATCACCATGCCATATTTAGTCCACTAAACAATGGACCCATTGCTTATGCACATTTGTCACTTACTATTGTTTCATTCTTAATTAGCAATTATCTTGAAAATGAGAGCTGCCTCTTAAAAGGTGCAGATTTTTCAGTCACTACTGGTCAACAGATGAAACAAAACTTCACAATTTTAATGTTTTCTTGCAGTGTTCTGCTTGCATTCATATCATTATTGTCCTACTTGAAGTTACATTCATTATCAAAACAAACTAAATTCCATGCAAATGTCATGTAAACACACAAACTGATTTATGGGATAATTAAACATTAATACAACACTGCTTAAATATGACTCCTGTTTACACTTGAGCTTGCATTTTTTTGTTTATTTGTATTTCTGTCAAGGATTTTGGCTTTATTATTTGGTGTTTCTGCACATACTAAAGAAAGATTGTGTTTCTAACTATGAAATATAGTTGCAGTGATGATAACTGAAGTTACATATTATAACTAAAACAATGTAAAGACACTTGCTTCTTCTGCCCCCAACACACACACAAAATTGCAATTATTTTCAAGACAAGGGCGAGCAATTGCTTTTAAATAGAAATGTCATTTTAATGATAGAAGGAAATAAGTTTTACAACAGGAACGTTTTAACTGCAAGCAAACTGACTTTTAGGGCTGAATAAATGAATTATAACAGACGACTAATATAAATACATTTAACACTTTTTTTGATGCATGGAGTTAAACTCCCAGCATCTCACTGCATGAGTTTGTTCTAAGACACTGAATTTGAATACACGTTTATTAAAACTGGTGAAAATACTATATCTTATATATTAGTACTTTGTCATTCAATGTGTGCAGGAGGATTACGTCATGCCTCGGCCAGCATCAGTGGTCCTCAGAGCTACAAGAAGATGAAGTTTGAGTCTGGAGTTCATCGAGTTCAGAGGGTTCCCAAGACTGATAAACAAGGCCGGATGCACACCAGTACCATGACTGTAGTTGTTCTGCCCCAACCCACTGAGGTACGACTACACAAATTAGATAAATATTTATGTGCATTACAAAGGTGCTTATTTTTGCTCTCAACACGACAGTTTTTAAAAAAAAATCTTAATGTAGTTCAAACACTTTAAATGTAAGTTATCCTACAGTCCTATTATGAATATTAAAATAGATGTTGGAAGGAGGGGAAATAATCCATCCATTTTTTCCCACTTATCTGGGGTCGGGTCTCGGGGATATCAGCCTAAGTAGGGAGGCCCAGACTTCCCTCTCCCCAGCCACTTGGGCCAGCTCCTCCGGGGGAATCTCAAGGCATTCCCAGGCCAGCCGAGAAACATAGTCCCTCCAGCGTGTCCTGGGTCTTCCTCTGGGTCTCCTCCCGGTGGGACATGCCCGAAACACCTCACCAGGGAGGAGTCCAGGAGGCATCCTAAACAGATGCTCAAGCCACCTCAACTGACTCCTTTCGATATGGAGAAGCAGCGGCTCTACTCTGAGTCCCTCCCAGATGACTGAGTTTCTCACCCTATCTCTAAGGGAGAGACCAGACACCCTGCGGAGAAAATGTATTTCGGCTGCTTGTATCCGTGATTTCGTTCTTTCGGTCACAACCCAAAGCTCATGACCATAGATGAGGGGAGGAACGTAGATTGACCGATAAATCGAGAGCTTCGCCTTTTGACTCAGTTCTCTCTTCATCACGGCAGACCGGTACAGCGCCCGTTTCACTGCAGATGCTGCACCTATATGCCTATTGATCTCTCACTCCATTTTTCCCTCATTTGTGAACAAAACAAGATACATAAACTCTTCCACTTGGGGCAGGACCTCCTCCCCAACCCGGAGAGGGCACTCTACCCTTTTCTGGCTCAAGGCCATGGCCTCGGATTTAGAAGAACTGATCCTCATCCCGGCCACGTCACACTCGGCTGCGAACTTCTCCAGCGAAAGTTGTAGAGACGTGATCCTAAGGCCACCAAAACGGATCCCCTCAACACCTTGGCTGCGCCTAGAAATTCTGTCCATAAAAGTTATGAACAGAATTGGTGACAAAGGGCAACCTTGGCAGAGTCCAACTCTCACTGGGAACGAGCCCGACTTACTGCCGGAAATGTGGACAAAGCTCTGACACCGGTTGTACAGGGACCTAACAGCCCATATCAAAGGGCCTGGTACTCCATACTCCCGGAGTACCCCCCACAGGGCTCCACGAGGAGCGTGATCGAAGGCCTTCTCCAAGTCCACAAAGCACATGTAGACTGGTTGGGCAAACTCCCACGCACCCTCCAGGACCCTGCTGAGGGTGTAGAGCTGGTCCAGTGTTCCACGACCAGGACGAAAACCACACTGCTCCTCCTGAATCTGAGGTTTGACTATCCGACGGACCCTACTCTCCAGAACCCCCAAATAGACCTTAACAGGGAGGCTTACAAGCGTAATCCACCCTGTAGTTGGAACACATTCTATGGTCCCCCTTTTTGAATAGGGGGACCACAACCCCGGTCTGCCAATCCAGGGGAACTACCCCCTATGTCCACGCAATATTGAAGAGTTGTGTAAGCCAACACAACCCTACAACATCCAGAGCTTTAAGGAACTCCGGGCGAATCTCATCCACCCCTGGGACCCTGCCACTGAGGAGCTTATTAACCACCTTGGTGACCTCAGCACCAGAGATTGGAGAGCCTGACCCAAAGTCCCCAGGCTCCGCTTCCTTTGTGGGAGACATGCTGGTGGGATTGAGGAGGTCTTTGAAGTACTCTGCCCACCGACCCACAACGTTTTGTGTTGAGATCAGCAGAACACCATCCCCACTATAAACACTGTTGGTGGTGTATCCCCCCCCCACCCCTCACCCAATATGCTGGATGGTGGACCAGAGTCGCCTTGAAGCCGTATGGAAGTCATTCTCCTTGACCTCTCCAAACTCCTCCCATGCCCGAGTTTTTGCCTCAGCCACCACCCAAGCTGCATGCCGCTTGGACTGCCGGTACCCATCAGCTGCTTCTGGGGTCCCACAGGCCAAAAAGGTGCGGTAGGACTCCCTCTTCAGCCTGACAGCATCCCTCACCACTGGTGTCCATCAATGGGGAAATAATCAAAATCATTCCAATAATTCTCACTCAGGTCATCAGCACGGTTTCTTTTTTTATAGAGACGTTTTGCCCTCTATCCGGAGGGCTTCATCAGTCTAAGGAGTTCCAGTAAACTGACAGGACGGCCCCTAGAAACCATCGTAGCTCCAGCAAACTGGTTGGTCCACTTAAGGAGTTTACTTCTTGGTGGGGAAACAGTTTACTGGAACTCCTCAGACTGATGAAGCCCTCCAAATAGAGGGCAAAACGTCTCTATAAAAAAGAAACTGTCCAGATGACCTGACCGAGAATTATTGGATTTTATACCTGAATGATTGATCATGAACTTTGTTGTTAATCAAAATCATTAAACCAAAGAATACTCTTTACAGATTCAGTTTATTAGTTTTATTTTTAATATTTATTTTATTTATTTAGGAGTTTTATGAGAGTTTATTTCCCCAACTCAGCTTTTGTTTATATTGTGTGGTCTCTTTAGATATCTTTCACAATAAACCCTAAGGACCTGAAGATAGAAACGAAGAGAGCGAGTGGAGCTGGAGGACAACATGTCAACACGACAGACAGTGCAGTCAGGATAGTCCATCTTCCAACAGGTAAAAACTAAAAACAACACATGCTAATGCAGATTGAACGTACTGCACATGCTTCCTTTTTATTTGAAGCAAGCTGAGCCAACATTAACTGCTTTCATTGGTTTCCAAATTGAGTTAAATGACCTTTAATAGACTACAATGCACAGTAGTAAGAAAACAACAAGTTCTGTCTGTTGACATTGTGCACCAGTGTACTGCCTTTCTACATCCAAGCAAAGTCCATCCATCCATCAATCCATTATCTTTACCCGCTTATTCCATTTTGGGTCACGGGGGTCGCTGTTGCCCATGTCCAGCAATCACTGTGCGAGGGGCGGGGTACACCCTGGACGGGTCGCAAGTCCATCACAGGGCCACATAGATGACAAACAAGACAAACAAACATTCAGTCTCTCACTCACATCTAGGGACAGTTTAGAGTTACCAATCAGCCTAACATGCATGTTTTTGGTCTGTGGGAGGAAACCAGAGTACCCGGAGAAAACCCATGCATGCACGGAGAGAACATGCAAACTCCACCCAGAAAGGCCCCTGGACCAGGGTTTGAACCAGGGACCTGCTCGCTGAGAGGCAGCAGCTCTACCAGTTGCGCCACCGTGCTGCCCATCCAAGCAAAGTATTTTAGAAAAATATAAGACACAGTGCATATATGTAACCTTTAACAATAAACATGAATTTTTAACAAAAACTGCGACAGAAAATAAAATAAGGAGAAGTTCTAAAATCTGTAAACGCTGTAGCTCTATACCACTTCTTAAGAGCAAAAATCCAGGGCAAATCAAGATATTAAAACATAAGCACAATTTTTATTTAACTTGATGATGCTGCTGAATTAAAAATTTCAATCTTTTCTCCTAAAGTCAGGAGTTATAAACACTTTTTGACATGTTCATGTGTGATTGTGAAAGGTAGTTTTGTCACTTTCTGCTTGTTCCTTCCTGTGTCACAGTAGTTGTGAAATGAGTTGGTCCATTTTAATGTGGCCCTTGAATGCTCGTGTGTGTTTGTTAGGTGTGGTTGCAGAGTGCCAGCAGGAGCGATCCCAGCTGAGGAACAGAGAGAAGGCCATGATGTCTCTGAGAGCAAAGCTTTACAGCATGAAGATGGAGGAAGAAACCAGCAAGCGCTACAACCAGCGTAAAATCCAGGTGAGGTTACATTTATGGAATTTTGAAACTGCAGACGAAGAGCTTAAAACATTATCTAAAATACTGGTGTGTCAACATCATTTAAAATATGTATGATTATGAATTTGAATGTTTAACATTGAAATAGAATTAGATAAAATTCAATAAATCAACAGTCAGTAAAATAAAACAAACAACTACTTTCATCTGATTTTTTTTATCCAAAAAATAAATGAACAACAAAAAAGAAAACTGCAAAGTAGAAAATAAAAAAAAAACATCCCCCACTCCCTTTTTTTCAGATTGGCACAAAAGCCAGATCAGAGAAGATCCGGACCTACAACTTTGCCCAGGACCGTGTAACAGACCATCGCATCGGCGTGACTGTGCACGACGTTAAAAGCTTCCTGCTGGGGGAGGATCTGCTGGACGAGATGAACTCTTCGCTGCAGGAGTTTTCCAACCAGGAGGCGATTATGGAGCTGTTTGAAAAGAGTAGCCAGGAGTGCTCATGAGTTTGGCTGTGACAGAAAGGAAAGTTTTTTAAAGTCATGGATACTTCAACTCTCAAATGTTGGACATTCCTACTCTGCATAAGGGTCTAATGAATACTGACCACAATACATTAAATGGTGGTAACGTACTTCTGCCAAACTGCAAGACTGAGGAACTTTTCTGCAGAGATTTGAATCCGTCGAGAGGGAGTTGTTTATTTTTTACCATGCTCATTAGACTTTACCTTTTCAGGTAATTGATATTTTTCTCATACACAACTAAATTTCAGCTACTAAAGCATAAAATTAGAGCAATATCTGTGACATTGCTGAGTTATAGTTATTTTTGTGTTTTTCAAGGTTGCTTAGTTGTGGCGGTCATTTTGAATGGTGTTGATACCAAGAGTTAATCACTTGTAGATGCACGTCCATTGATTACCCTCTAAAAGTTTAATTAAATCAATCCTCTGGTTCCTGGGATATTTTTCTAAGTCTATAGACAAATGAACACAGAAAAAAAACACATAATTTCCTTCAGTGGCAGGCAATAAAAGTGCAAATTAAAAAAAAAATTGTATTGAGGCTTTGATCATGTGTATGCCAGTGTAAGTAAATTTGTTTTTGACTTCTTATTTATGGATTAGTGTAGGGTTTTTAAACTTCATTACCCATAATCCTTTGAGCGCTAAGGTTGTTTAATCGACTGCGGAGACGAATCTCCCAACGGTCGCATCATCCAGCGCTACCGTTAGCCTGCTAAAAATGGAATAGCAAGACAATTTCTACAGAGAAATACGTTTGTATTTATTTAAAAATATGCCGTTTCTTAGAAAAACTTGTCTGGGAAACTCAAAATTAATTGTATTTAATGTCTTTACACTTTCTGGAAGACCGAAATCGTTGTTTTCTACGTCGGTAGCCGAGCGGGTTTAGCGAGTGATTCGGCAGCGAAGAGGAGGCTCATCTGTCGGCTGCTGCCGCCGCTGCAGCTCCGTCTGCGAGGATTTGGACAAAGCCTGTCAGATGTGGGACGATAATACATATTTAAACTCGTATGTGTTAAAACCAGCTGAACATCATTCGTGAAAGTGACGGCAAGAAGAAGAAAGAAGTCCGTTTTAAGAGGGGCGAGAGTTCGGATCTCGCACGGAGAGGAGGAGGAGGAAGGACCTGCGGGGAAGAAGAAGGGACGTTTGGGGCCGAAATCCTGATGCCAGTGATGGCAAACGAGCCGATCATCCTAAACGTCTATGATATGGTAGGAAGAAAGAAAACACTTTGCTCCAACTGCTAAAGTAGTTATTGCAGCACAGCCCTCTGAAAAATAACCCGCATTTAACCTGCATTTGTTATGAGCAGACATTTTCTAATGAAATTAAGATCTGTGTGAAATAAAAACAACAAAAATCACTGTTTCATACACACTTGATTTTTAAACTTTACACTCATTCAGTTTTGTGCAGTTTTATTTGGCTTTAAAATGTATTTCTCACAGCTTTTATACAAAGCCAACAGCAATTTAAAGGCATGAAAACATGATTTTTAACCAACAAAGTGAGTTTTTAAAAGAGCTATTAACAAAAAAAAACAACTCACTTCAGCATGGTGTGAAGTGTAGTGTTAAGGAGTTATGGAAAATTTATGAAATGAAGGAAAGTTGGCTGCTTTAAAATGTTTAATAAAAACCACGCACAACATAAAAGGTTGTTAAACAACATAAAACAAGCAACTTGTCATAAAATAAACTGAAGTGAAAGCTGAGCTCAAACGTCAAATCACATTTCTCTGCCATCAAATGCAATTCAGATACATTAATTTGAGGTGTTTTCACAAATAAGCAGCTAGGACCTTACACAATGACATCTTGTTGGTGATTAAATTACTATATATAGTTTGCCTGTGTGTACTGCACAAAGAAATGCAAACCAACAATGTCCTTGCAACAAGCATTTATTGTATCTCTAAAATATAAAGAAATGATGGGTTGAAAGATGTTAAAAAGACTTTATTTTGGAGCTTTGTTAGCAGTTTCAGCGCAACAAAAACGCATGTAAGTATGTTAAAGTGGCACAAGGAAGACGATCTACAACTGATAACTGACTCGCTGGTTCCCTCATGTCTTTGTTTTCACAATACTGGATTTCCATATGAGGAAAAAGAGCAAGATGGGCTCTTTAATCCGCTGTTGTTACAATAAACGGTAGCATGGGTAAATTTTACACTTAAAGTTCTTGAAAAATCTATTTCGGTAAAGCTTTTTGCGAGAAGATAGGGAAAATAGTGAGTTGTGGAAAAGGAAAACTACAAAAGAAACGGTTAAAAAACTATAAATGGATGTGAAAAGAGCCCAACAGTTTCCACCAGGAGACATTGTACAGTTGTGTCCTTGTTTCAGGTTGAAGCAAAGGAGGAATTTGATGTTGTCACCATGCAGGGGTGAGTCAGTCAGTAGGGATCTGCTAATTGATCTGCTGATGAATCATTGATTGATATGGATTCCCTGCCGTGGCAACTAGATTACACCAAAAATGGGTATTGTCTTTCTAGGGCTATAAAATGGTAAATACCAGCATTTCAGGGATAAGGAGTGAGCTCTTTGTTACAGTCTAGATGTTTCATTGTATCTGACTCTCTTCTCATATAATCTGTGAATTAGGACTTTGTTGAGTCCTTTGTGGTCTGTGCATGTAAAGTCTTTGTTTTTTCTTCTTATTTGGTATGAAACATAAAAAGAGTTATTCTGAAATACAGTTGACAGACACCCCACCCCCTTGCTTGACTTCAGTATAACAAGTTTTTAACTGACCTAACAGAATTAGATGTAAAATAGTTTTAGCTGTTTTATTTAGCTTCTCTCCACCGTTTCTTCCACATCTTCTGTTTTTCTTTCTCCCCCTCCCTCTCTTTCTGTTGCGTTCTGTCTTCTCTCCTCCCCCCTCCGTCCACTTCTTGTTTTTCATTTGACTGGCTGGCCACAATGGCTTCTTCTCTGATAACTCTGCAGAGCTATTATCTCGATTAGAATTGTATTATTGTGACTGACTGCATCAGACTCGTTATACCGTGGCATGTAAAAAAAGTGCAGAAGCTGTAGGGCTGTGCATCTCTTATGACTGATATCTACATCATTGGGCTGCAGTACATACCAGGAAAATGGCATTTGCACACAGAACAACGTGATAATTTCCATAAAACTTATAATGGGTAAAGTTGTTTCTTTTGGGTGGCATAGTGTATCAGTGGGTAGAGCTGTTGCCTCTCAGAAAAAAGGTCGCCTGATCGAATCTGGGCTGGGAGTCTATCTGGGTGGAGTTTGCATGTTCTCTCCGCGCATGCATGTTTCTTTTCCGGGTACTCCGGTTTCCTCCCACAGACCAAAAACATGCATGTTAGGCTGATTGGTAACTAAACTGTCCCTAGGTGTGAGTGAGAGTGTGAATGGTTGTTTGTCTCTATATGTGTCCCTGTGATGGACTGGAGACCTGTCCAGGCTGTCCCCCGCCTCTTGCACAATGACTGCTGGATATGGGCACCGGTGACCCCCGTAACCCGATAAGGAAGAAGCGGGTAAAGATAATGGATGGATATTTGTATTTATTGCACACAAGGCATTTAAAAAAAATATGGCATCAATTAGCTACGTTTCAGTTGTTGCATTTAATATTAGACCAAAGACTCACAAGTGTTGGTAGCACGTTGCACAAAATATTTGAAATTGTTATAAATATTTTATTTGGTGGGTATTTTTTGGCTCTTCATATGTCATATCACAAGCAGTCACGCTAGATCAACGTGCAAGTTGATACAATTTTAGCAGTAAATTGGCTAATAGATGTAATTTCCCTTTTTTAAATGATTTTCATGCGCTTCTTAAAACGGAACGTTTAGCGTTGTAAAAAAAGTGAGAAGTGCTTCTGTCTTCTTTAGCTGTTAATTAGAAAGAGATTAAGAAAAATCTTTATATTAGTGTCTTTTAACTCTAAACTTGCACAGCAGCTTGCCAGAAGATGTTCGTGTTACGTTGTAAGCACATGAGCAAGGACATCCGGTCGTTTGCTTAGACTCATGTCAGTTTCTTGTCTGAGTTTCTTTAATAGCACTTTGAGACTTTATCTACGTTCAAACAACACTGGAGTGAATGAAACAGGAATTTGTCTTTATATCTGTTGTCAGCCATATTGTCATCTCCCTCCTTCCTATGTGCTGTCACTACTCTAGAAATTTAGACGCACATACTAAATACGTCCTTAATACTCATGCTATTTTGATACTGCAGGGCAACAGCACATCTCCTAACAACATGCTACACCAAAATCTTAAACGTATCGATGACCCGTAGCAGCCAGATGTGCATTCTGTAGTTTAGCTGATGGAGTTTGAGAGTTGAATTTAAAACTGTCATGCTCAAAGAACACAAATGACAGTGCACAGATGCTTTTTAAAAATGTTTTTTGACACATTATCACCTTTAAGCTTGTTAATCTTTTTGTCTACTTGTTTAATTTACATTATTAATTTAAAGCATCAAATTTCAATGTACTGTTAAAACTTCTTGGAGCGCTCAGATCAGTTATGATGATGAATTTGCATTCTGACTTGTTGAGTCACTCTCTGCATGACGGGAACAACTGATAGTCTTCTATTAGTTCTGATATTCTTGAAAAAGGTGAAATGTATATGTATGTATTTATATTTATTTATTTATAAAATGAAGTGAAGTTGATTGATGACTTTCTGGCGGTGAGTTTGATCTGATAATGGCTGAAGTCAAGAGCGTGTAGTCAAAAGATCCCTTACCATTATTTTTGTTTAACCCACGTATTTAAAAAGACAAGAAAAGTTGTTCCGTTCCAGGATCGATAGTATGATGTCATTTTCAGGAATGTAAAGGCAGACTCCCTCCTGCTCTCTCTTCCATAATTCCCCTCTTGTCATGCTCTCCCTGCCATCCTGCTCTTGTCTCTACTAAGTGGATTTCCTGTCCAGCTCTGAGTGCTTTGTACACTGTTCTAATGAGAGAGCATTATCTTTACACCACCTGTCTGCCTGACAGCCAGCCAGACAGGTGGTGTATCCCACACATCTTCTCAGTGATGAAGCAGAGAGAAAACATTCTCGTACAACGTTTCAACTGTGGAAAGTAGCTGATCAGGTTGTTGCTCATCTCGTTGTGGATCCTGCTGTGCATCAGACAGATGCAGATTCCTCTTGTTCTCTTGGACGGGCTAAAAGATAAAGTGATTAAAGTTCTGTCCATGCAGCAAAATAACCGGAGCCTTTTAAACACATAGAACTTTGTCTATTGCAAGAAAATGTTGAGTAAATAAATAGACAATCTTACCAATATTTTTTTTGCTGTTACTCATGAATCCCTAATCAGGATAATCATTGTGAGAAAAAAAAAAAATCAATGT